TGTCTGGTATCCTCAGTAAACTGGTTCTGCTGCCATTTCCACTACTCCTGTTTTTTCCATCTTGTATAACAGAATAACAACTGCTTGTTCTCAGTTCTGTGCTACTTTTTCTGGTTTTAAACCTGCTCCAAATACTTGATGCAGGTCTTTATTGCCTCTGATTCACCATCTTTTCATACTTCAGGTATGACTGCATAGTTTCCTCATCTTACTTCCGTATTTATTGCATTTACTAGCATCTCCTTATCCTCCAGTGACATTTCTTTCTCCATGAACATTTCCAGAGACCTGCATCCTACAACTGTTTAATAAGTATATTTAATAACTATAATTATGTTTTGCCTTTACTTAAGCTTTATCTATTTTTAAGTATGCTGTCACACTGCTGACTGCAATTTTCAAGTAAAATTCAGTTTTGCTAAGGAATAACTAGCCCTAAATAATCAGGCTTTTTTGTTGCTGTTCCTGTTTGATGCTTCCATTCAATTATTTATTCCTGAGCAAAAGTTTTTTTCTGAAAGTTAGCCTATGTCTTAATTCCTTCAGCTGTTGTCTCCCCTTCCTCTCTTCTGTCATCATCACTCATATCCCAGATGTAAGACAACACTAAGGAAAAGAAAGGAAAACAAAGAGGGGTGTAGGATAGTGCAGTAACGTGAACAGATCAGAAAGAAATGGGAAAAGACAAACTGAAGGATATGGGGAGAAAACTGGGGAGGGGAGAAGAACACTAAAAGAAGACGGGGTAGATCAGTGTGAAATAAAGAGCTGATCATGAAAGGGGAAAAGAAGGAAAATGAAAGAAAGACTTGTGGAAAACATCATAGCTATAGATAGCATAAGGACTAGACAGTAAGAAAGAACAGACAAAGAGGAGACAGAAAACAAAGGATATTAATCAAGACCAAAAAAAAAGCCCTGGGGAGATGATCTGTATCAGAAATAAGGGGTGTTTTTAACCAAAATTGGAGATGCACAGTATAATGGGGAACACTAAAAAACAGAGTAGAGGGTCTAGGACAATAAACAGAAGAAATTTTAAAATAAACGAGCACAGAGTGAATAGAGCAGTTGTGCTTCTGTATAACCTAAAGAGGAAAGGGGTTGTAAGTTATGAACATTAACCTGGTGTTTCTTTACAATTAAAAAGGTAAGCAGGATTCTAAAAGGCATTAGCACAAAGCTAAGATGTTGTATTATGGTGGGGTTTTTCTACTATATGCTCTTTGATAGCTATGTGGTACATTATATTGAACAAGGATAGTAAAGCTAGCAGAGCACTGCTGTCATCACATCATGATATATGGTAACAGTAAACATGCATTTGGGTATATTGCTACTGATTGCTTATTTCAGGCTTTTGCCAAGCTGCAGTCTGCCTCATTCCTGCTAAACATTATAAATATTTTTAATGGAAATGGAATACACATCAAAAGATTGGATATTATTGTTTTATGAGGCACTGGTTAGACCTCATGCTTAGTTGGGCTCCTTTTGCTACAGAATGGATATTATTGTACAACATAATGGAGTATATGGGATAAATTCAGCTTTTGAGATAATTTCTCATGAGGAATTGCATGTTGGCACATGCACTGATTTCAAGTGAGGTACCCCTGTGCATCTGAAGGTAGGATATTCTCCAACAAAGAGAAAACTGCAAAGTAGCCAAATGAAATCCGTCAAAATTATATTGTCAATCTGACAAAATATAGTTGGTTCTTACAGTGCTTTCAATGAACAGTGCTTGGTTATTATCATTAAACTCATCTTGTGTAAGGGAAAAAGATATAGTGACTTCACAGAGGGCACTTACGAAAGTCAGATGCAAAGCCAGCAATGATACCATGAATTAATAACATCAGCTTTGTTGAAGTTGATATTAGAATTCTAATTAGCTCCAACCGTTCCAGGGCTCAAGCACAGTTTTCCTGTCACTCTGTCTATTAATTTATCAGTCTAACCAGGAAAAACAACAGTGGCCTAGCTTTTTTTTTAGGCCAGGTGCTAGCTTCCACTTGTAGCATCCTCTTTGAAGATTGTTTTGAAAGCACAACTAGCCCCTCTAGACACCTGGCTATGCTCAGGAAAAGGGATGTCTAGTGCCAATATCTTTTTTCTGGGTGGACATGGCACAACAGTTGGGCTTTAAGCATGGGTATGTATCTGAGCAATAGGTAACATTTGCTTGTGAGGGCAGTGCGTGCCCTTACAGGCATTTCCTAGCTCCTCCTTGGCAAATGCAGCAGGCCAGATGGAACTGTTCCTTGGGCTGCCAGTTGGACCACCCTGGTTTGTACCAAACAGGATTTTAAAAAACCCAAGGGGATGGAAAAAGTCTGAAAATTAGCAACTAAAAATAAACAGGAAATGAAGGCAGAACTGTTTCACATGAAGTGCCATAAGTACATGAAATAGAATTGTCCAGCTAAAATTATCAAAATGATGAATTTAAGTAAAAACTCTGGGAATAGTGAAAATAATGCCAGGGCAGAAGAGAAATGAAGAGCTGTATTTAAACAAAAAACCCTAAACCACCACAGCTACAACAACACTATCACTAGAACCACACATGGACATCTTCAATGTGAGGTAAAGGAATGTGTCCAGAAGAATGGAATTTTGAAGGATAACATGTTAACTTTAACAAGGTTCCTGTAACTCCTTTGGAATTCCTTATTTGTCGCAGCAGCTATGGTCTGCAGCTTGATTTTTTTTTCCCTTTAAGTAATAGCTTTGAGGCAGTAAGACTCAGGCCAAGTACATAATGGAAGTTTGTATTCTATCATTTGTACTTTATAAACTTGAGCAACTAGATCAGAGAGAAAGTTATTGCATATAATAACAACAATACTTTCCTAGTTATCCAGGATTGGTTCTTAAGATTTCATGCAAAATTTTTTTCCAGGTGGATATAAGATGATGTTGATCTGTGAGGACACATTATTTTCAATATACATTATTTAATGGAAACATAATGCCAAAGAGAAATAGCACCACCTACAATTGGATAATACTGTTTAAAGCTGGAAAAATCAGAAGAATCTCTCAAAAAATACAGGGCACAATCCTCTATTGCCAAGATAAAACCTAGATGATTTACATGTGACCTTTTCCTTCTGCAGGTTCTGTTACTGTAAAAGAGCCATGAAACTGCTTTCTGACCATTCTGTTTAACACTCACACCAACGTAATACAGAAAATAAGGTACAGACATTATTTACAGAGTATATCATGTAAGCTAATGTTGAGATATTGAGTAGAATATTCCAATATGCAGTTCCTTTTGGTATTTCACTCATCTGAGACCTTGAGACACTAAAAGCTGTGTTTTCTAATTTTTGAGTTTTACACAAATGCGGGCAACTGGAGCACTTCTGTTATCTAAACAGTCCCCCAAAAAATTTAAACACACTGAAGCACAATCAAGCCTTATCAGATAGACTATTAAGTAGGACTTGCTAGAATACTTGAACTGCTAACCAAAACAACATATGTAGCACATGTTTATGCAGCAGACTGGAAGCCTTAGAGAGTCATCCTGTTCTGCAAGGTGAATTCCACTGGATAACACTTGGTTCTGGGGAGTGGGGGGGGGGAGAGGAGGGAAACAACAATAACAACAACAAATGAGATATTCCAGATATTCCTTTCCTGCAGGACACACGGAATGTGAAGCATCCAGGACAGCAAACTGGAAAAACATCACTTCAGAGTTCTTTGGATTTGGTGAACTTTCCCTACAGTTAAGGGCATCAACACAGTAAGAATCTGAGGTATTTCCATAGCACCTCCAAGTCAGCACTTTTTTAGGTGGCTGTCTCTGAAGTGACACCATAACACCATAGAATGCTCTCTCAGTGACTGTGCTTGTGTCCCATAGCTCTTAAGTTTTCAGGTGAACGAACACTAGATTTCTTTTTTGTTTTTTTTTTTTGTTTTTTTTTTTTTTTTTTAAGCCCCAATGCTACAAGCACAATCTGAAAATGATACTACATTTTTCTGGTTCACCCTGTCTTATGAGTACTAACAATATTTCTAGATTTGGAATTTAAAGTAATAAGGAGAAGACAGTAATTCAATACAAGAGAGGTTGATTAGGACAGAGGACATCATAAGACCAACTAAGATGGTGGGTAGAAACTGCATCTTGCTTTAGTTGGTAGGCCACCTTCCCTTCTTTTGCTACTAAAGTTCCACTGCACTTTAATATTCTAAAAATGATAATGCACAAGATAGAGCACAAGGAATTTTGTTGTTGTTCTGTACTTTTTTTTGTCTTTCAAGAAAACACAGAAGGGCCTTTACAGAAAGACCTTGGCGCATATTCTTAGGTAGTAGCAATTATCATAACTGCAATCAACAGATACATGACAGTTTCAAACATGTGATGAGCTTCCTCTTCTCTGAGTGCGTCTTGAATGTGGCCAGAAGGGGATCACAGAAAGTCCCAGCACAGAATTTCTGTGCCTCAGACAGCAAGAACAAAAATCTGCCTCTGCTACAGGTTTTAGCAAATGTGCTACTGATTTTAACGAAGCTCAGTTATTTTTACTTCTTTAATTGTTAGATCATGGACACTTCAAAAGCTTAGAATTGGTCAATTTGTAACTTAGAAATTTAGAATCTCTTAGAGAAGTAATGGACTGTGAGCAGGGCAACATATAAATACATGTAAAATACACATGGAAAATTCACTTTCAAAGGACTTAAAAGACTAGAGATATATTAAACTAACTGAAATAATAAAGGCTCATAATATAATTGTATTCAGGTTTCTATTTCATTATGTGTCTCATTCCAGTATCATTACTGTAGTCAGTAATTTGTCAAAAGCTAGGTAATTCAGACACTGTTTTACCCATGCCACCATGTGAAAATAAAATTAATTCTGATGCACATTGTACCAGAAACTCAATATAGGTCCTGCAAATAGTGTTTTGGAGCAATACCTGTATTTTTTAGTGTCAACTAAAGTTTTTTTAGTGAAAACTAATTACCCATTCTCAGTATGAAACATCGATGGAGTTGGCGGTAGAACCACACTTGGGTTGCAGCACTCCTTGCCATCTCAGCCAAAATTCCCACAGCCAAGGGTGTTGGCTACCTGTAAAACAGTGATATCATCATTTCCAATTGTCTCCTTTCTAAAGATATGTAAACAAAATCATAGAATCAACCAATACGGCTCTTTGTGAAGCTGTATTTCCACAAGCAAAGCAAATTCAAGAAATCGCAGCTCCAGAATATTTTATGCATTTTGAAAATGTAAAACTGTAACTATGAAGATTTATCATTCACTTGAGCAGGAATATTTGAGAATTCACACGCTTCTGACATATATTGATCCAATGGTACCTCAGGTCTTTTCCATCAGGTCAATAATAAATATTCCATAATATTTATGAATATGTAGACTCATAAAGCACTAAACCTATATGACAAAGTGTAAGAGCTGTCCATTTTTGTTGCTTTCTGTTAAAACAGTTATTCAGAGCACTTGATACCAATGAAAAATGCATGTTTATCACATATAAGGATTTAATAATATAAACTGCACTGCTACAGTTCTCTTCTAGTTTGTGGACTGCCATACACAATGACTATAGCTTACATGCCAAATGAAGGAATAGAACATTATTCTTATTTAAACACTATAGAAAGCTCCAGCACAGTCTGGTTAAATAATTTACCAAGAAGATTTTAGATAGTTTGTGAATGCAAGAAAAATTTTCTAATATAAACAGTACTTAGCACTCATGAAGTGCTTTGCATTTTCACAATACTCCTCAAACAAACACGTAAGTATTGTGGTGCATTGTACAAGTAAGGTAACTGAAATGGATATCTTTCTCTAAGAAAGATTTTAAAAATAAATGTTTTCTCAAATAAGAATCAGAATACATTGCAATGGTTCTGTTTCAGAGCTTACCAGAAACCATGGCTTCCTTGATTTTTCAAAAGTTAAGTGGTATGTGAACCAATTTGATTGTCCTATTAATGCATGATTGAAAATATTCCATATTCATGTAATATTAATAACGTAAGTATAAAACCAAACATATGTACATAAGTAAACAGCTATTGTATATGTAACTAGCTAACATCTTTGCACTCATAAGAAATAAAGTATCAAGGTGTTGTAATGCTGAAGTTCAGGCCCAGGCTAGAAGGATGTACACAATATGGGGGTGATCAAGAAAGAACTGATAAATTTACAGGAACCCGTTCAGTGGGCTCTAGATCAAGCCACAAAGGAGAGGATAAAACATATCTGAAAGAACTCTGACTTCATTATTCACTTATCCTTCTCTATTTTATCATTAATTCTTATTCATTTTTTTTATATTTTTCAGTGCTAGCCTCATTTTCCTTTTATTAATAAATTTTTATTTTCCTCAAATAAAAGGATCTGTACTTAGCTCTACTCAATAATGGATGAATTGCTGCCTCCTTTGAGAAAGGATGTAAAAAATCATAACTAACGATTTAAATATTACATCTTTTCAGAATTCCACTTCATCCTAATGGCTGTAGGTAAGTGGATCCCAAGATACAGTATGGAATTCTATTTGAGAAACCTATAAATTAAGGATCAGTAAGAAAGGAGAGAAGCACAGGACTGTTTCCACATCAAGTTCTTTTTCTAAGTGTCCTATTTGCGTCCTGTATGACTCCCTCCCTGTAGGAAACCAGAAAGATAAATAACTCCTAATTACTGTTATCTGCCTGAAATTGTATTTTTGACATCATGTTAAAAATTATTATGAAAACTTTTTAAAACTGTCTCCTACACAAAAACACTGGAAACTTTAGAATTATTATTACCTGTCCACTCAGCTCTGTCAAAACAATTTAATTCTGCAGACTTCCAGACTAGTTCACTGATTTCTTGGTACAACAGCACTCGCAGGGAACATACAGCTGTCACTTAGAAGTGTTTCCCAAAGTTTTGTCTGTACAGATTACCTACTCCTGAGACATACAAGTGCCCTTGGTGTTAAAGTTCAAACCCTTTGGAAAGCCATGCTTGGTGGAGCGATACCCAAGCCTCCCAGAAGAACAGAACATTCGGTGTGAGGTTATATAGAAAACCATAGGTCCAGAGAGAACAGCCCACACAGTCCCTCTGCTCCTTCAAGCTGCCAGAGGCACAAGATTTTAGTGTCCTCAGGGCCTTCCCCCATTACATATATCCAGTTAAGTTTATCATAAACAGTTCCACTGAAAGTACAGTGCTAGCACCTCAGACTTTATATTAGAAAAAAATGACTGCTGGAACAAAGTATTTCCCCATGAACAACCAACTGCCCCAAGTTTCCAAAAAAATGTTGAATGGCACTAGAAACTCATTTGACTCCCACCCATACCTGACTGATTTGCTAGGAAAATTCAACAAGTCCATGATATACATATTGTCCTGCAAACAATGTATTTCCATATTAAAAACCATTATATATCATTATTCCAGTGGATGGCTCTGAAAAATTGATCCTGATTATCGTCCTTTATGGATGCGAACCTTAATCCATTGATCGCTGTATCATATGTGAGCGGTGACCTACACCTACTAATCCTGTCCCAGACAGAAAGTTATCTGTAACTTTGTACCATCCCTGGAACGACATGATTCCTGTTTTAAATAATCATTTAGGCCCTACACTAAAAAATTATATGGGGAGTAGAAAAGGTTAAAATGCTGGAATCGTGACCACTTCAAATCATGGTTTTGCCAGTACCAGATCCGAACCTCTGCAGTGAGGGTTAAGTGCAGTCTGTTTGCCTCACTCACACAACATCTAGCCTGCAGTGACCATTCCTTGGGAAATTTGGGATTCCCTCACATCTGTAACAAATTACGTGGAGCAGTACAGCTCATCCTCAAAGTTCATTTGATAGTGATTGTAATACATGCCTTCAGGTTAGAAAGGAGTGCTTAACTCCATCCCTTGATTACACACAGAATTTCAAATGCTGTAGAAGCCAGGCTGCATATAAAGCTTCTGGGATTGAGGAGAGCTCACCTGGAGATCAGGGCCATCATTGTTCGTATCTCACCACAGGCAGACCACATTCACAGGGAAAATGCTACTACTAGTGGGGAAACATACAATAGACCAGAAGAAGTTTTCTATTAGAGCTGTCCAGGAACAGATGGTCCCAGCATCTGCTATTGTGCCTCCTTATCCTGGGTTATTTATTTATTTTCTAAAATATGGTTCAGCCTTAAGTTCAGTCAAAGTTCATCTGGCATCCACATCAGTTTACATCTTTATCCAAGGATCTTCTTTGTTCAAACATCTTACAGTCAAATGAAAGAAATGATTCACACATTGCCACCTGTGTGTGAACCTACCACCTACTTAGATTTATTTCTCACCAAAGTTAATGGACTCTTCATCTCAAGGTTGAGAGGAACGGACACGGTACAATCTGTCTTTGAAGACCACGTCCCTGGCAAAATATTATCGGCCTGCGGAACTGGGGAGTCCCAAAACCCAATGGTTTGACTGCTCCATGCAGATAAAGTGGCCTTATGACTGCATCCTAAACTCCTAGCCAAACTGGTGTCTATATCCCATTTTAATTACGGTGGAGTTGAGCACTGTTTTTTAGTTAAAGGTTGGCTATTGTAAACAATCTAAGATCCACACGCTGGAAATTTGCTGTGCACCACAGAAGTGTGAAGGAGGGTGAGTAGGCCAAACTCAGTCACTTCAATAACGGGGTCCCAAAGAACAGCCTCTGTAAGAATTAGCTGTTTACAAAATCACCTGCTTCTTCCAAGTTTTTCTTTGCATGACTGGCACTCGGACTATAGCTTTAATCCTCTCCAGACTGATCTCATTCGGTCAGGATTTAGGCTGCTAACGCAATGCTCCCAATGCCCCTTCAGGGAAGCAAGATAGAAGGAAGTTACTAGGGTAAAATTTGTAACTGCAGGTCAGTGGAGGCTAACGGACACCTCAAAGAGATGGTGCTACGTGTGCATTACACTGGCACAGAGAAGACACCACAGAAGTGCCCATGAGCCTGCAGATACATGCGTGATGCCAGAAACGCAAGGCAGCTTTCAGCATCACTCTGAAGTCATTTAACACAGGCCCAAACGACTGGTTTTCAGCACGCAGCATGCTGTTAGCATGTGCCTGAGAATGACTGTTAGGTACACTGGTACTTTCCTCCATATGCCAGGGCATTCAGCAGTTCTGAAAACAATGTGTCGAGGGGCATACCTATTTGAGATGAACTCCCTACTTTCTGAAAGATAAATGATGCTACTGAGTTAGATGCATCTTTCTGAAAGCTACATTACACGTATGAATTAGACACACATTGTTGTAGGAAAATATATGACAGTGGTTGCTGACTGCATCATCATTTTCACCTGTGGGAGAAAAGTTTTGTTACTGGTTGGAAAGTAGCCTCAAATAAAACAATTAATACAACCTATATATGCTCTATGTGCAGCAATGCTGTACGTGGTGCCTTAGCATATATTGTATGAAAGCTACTATGAAGAATTTCCCAAAGCTGCTATATCAAATATGATTTGACTCACACTGATGTATTTATAGGAGTGAAATGCACATGCACTGTGTCAACACAGAAAAAATCTGTGGAATCCTGACATCCCAGTCATTGAGCAGATCAGAGCAGAGCTTCCTGACCGCTTAGTTTTAACGCTGCTGGGCTACAGTTTCCATCCCCACACTTAGCAGGCAACGAAGAACACTAGGCACAAATATTTCGGCCCATTATTTAGTCCTGGCATGCACAATATCACTTATTCAGAAAGACCTTTATTCCACTGATAACTATTACAAGCATTTCAGAGTTTCTTTGATGACATCTTAGACAAATTGTTCCTACAGCAAGTTAAGGATACTTCAAACACTGGAGCAAGGGATACACGTGGCTGGCAAACTGCAGCAGGCAGTGGGATTACTACAGTCCCTGACAGGAAAGAAAGATTTTCCCACAGCAGCTTCCTTTGTCTCTTTGTAACATACATAAATAGAGACCCGCTGCTGAGGTGAATTACAGCAGGTAGGGGAAGTATGCAGACCATAGGCAAGAGGGCCTCTTGAGTCTTCATTCCCCTCACAAAATGGTTTGCTTTATCTGCCTTCTAGTTAGCCTAGCCTATGTTGCAAAATTGAACACACGTAATTGAAGGTTTGTGTTAGCAGCTGACGTGATGTGCTAAAATAATCTGTAGTTCATATTCCCTGACGGGCCAATCAAGTGGAGTTAACATCAGCCCAATAACGCTTTTGTACCCAGGCGGGACTCAGGTTTTTTTGAAGTCATGTTGAGAGAGTAGACGCATTAGTTTACAGTCCCAAATGGTCCAGGTGGCTTCAGCTGGTTTAGAGGATTTCTAAGAGCCATGGGGAACTCTGTGGTAAAGACATACCCTAAAAACATGTCTGTGACTGTCTGGGCACCTATTTTCCCATAAAAAAAATATCCTAACAAGTCCTGTTCATTCATGTTATACCAGCTTTCACACCTCGTATTTGTGGTATGCAAAGACAAGCAACATGTTATTCTCAACCCCATGAAATGATGTGGGCTATAGTATATGGTGGATAGAACCAACCAGAAATGTTCTGACCAAACTGAAAAAATGCTGTTACATCACAAACAGAAATATAAGCAAAAATATAATGGTTTTATAAACTCCCGACTAACCACAAGATGCTTTAATAAAACCATTCCAGCAGTTTTCCTTCTTCATTACCAGAGGAGCTACAGCAAATGGACTTGCAGAGTTCACAGCTGTGGGGAACTCCTGCCATAAAGACTGTCCCAGAGTCAGGGTTTCCTGATATTCCAGTTCTCTGCCTTGAAGCCACAGGAACCCTAGCCCCAGTGATGCAGCAGAGAGCCAGAAAAAACTCTCAACTGCACTTCTAATGGGACTCTCAGGGCAGTCGGGCTTTCACCCAAAAAAAGCCAGAAGCACAGGAGCCCAGACTGCCAAACCTTGAGATTCCTGCCCAAGTCCTCATTCCAGATTTCCAGATTCCTGGGTCTCTGTCCATCCAGCTGACAGAAAAGAGGGAGATGGGACCTTCAAGTTGCAGGAGCCACAGCTGAGGTAGAAGCCTCAGAGCTTGGACTCTCAAGCTCAGTTTCATTTCAAAGTAACGTAAATGAACTGTCTGACTACTTTAAAAAGATTTGTACCTTCCTTTCTAAATGAAACATATAAAATTCAAAATTAAAGGCTTTTTTTTTGGAATTGAATCTGGAAATGTAACTCTGATTTTGAGCATCTACAGTGGAGAATCCATGACTTACTGTTTCTCACTGGTCTGTGACATGGTGTGACCCCAAGAACACAGAATCACAGAATATCTCAAGTTGGAAGGGACTCATAAGGATCATCGAGTCCAACGCCCTGCTTCTCGCAGAACTGCCTGAAACTAAGAAATAAAGCAGAATCATTGGCTTTGCAACACATCCCACAGTTTAGGAAGAGTGCTCAAAATAACAAATATAAAGTTACAATGGACTTGGTGAAAAGTGTAATGGTGATGAGGTATGGAGAGATTCCACCCTCATTTCATCTGACAAGGAAGTGGTTCTGAAAAAAAAAAAAAAAAAGCTTTTTTCTCTTAACAAAATAAATGGCAATACAAAAGTGTGTTTCAGAACTGCAACTCAAATGCCAGCTAAAACAAAAGCAGAGTCACTCTCCATGAGCCAAAGTCCACCTGCCTCACCTAGTGAAGTGGCCCTGATACAGAGGGGTGATCTCCCTGTACTAGTAGCTTCAATACCCTAATTTCTCAGATGTAGACCAAGCTGAGTGTTGGTTTGTCTCCTAGCCTGCTCTGACACTGCAACATTCCTCCTCATGGCATGCCAGGTATTTGCTGCTGGTGTGGAAGGATGGAGTTTAGCTTGATATTGCTGCTGAGAAGACACATCTTGTACTGCATGGGCTTAGCTGTAAGGGTGAGGTGACCACATGTGAAGTTCTTCTGTGAATCACCCGAATATGTAAGGGTGTGCCATCAGACAACATCTGTTGGGAGTTTAGGAATAATTTGATGCTACTGTTTGCTTCCATCAAAGCGGATGCCAGCTTCTGCTCCTGTCTGCAAACTCATATGATAACTATTTCCCAAAACTGATGCTAGCTGCTACACATAACTACACGTTTCCTCTCATGTTCAGACTATGGAGGAATTCACTAACTTTAGACCTCAAAGCAGGTTTCTTGGTGCAATTAAATTCCCTTGCAAAATATGCATGACTGTCTGAGAACAAACATAAAATAAGCTGAGAAATAAGTTCAATGCCACAATCAGCCTTGCACTCTTTGAAATGTATTCTGACATATTTAATTCACATGAAACAGGTACCATGACATATCCTGATACAGACAATAATATGGATAATGCAATAATGGCACAAATAAACATAGTCTATTTATCTCCTAGGCAAAACTAGAAGAAAATCTAGCTACATTCAAACACTGTAGCAGCAATAGTTTCCTTTTTAAAAACATTCTAACCTTTTCACACATAACTGCATTGTAACCCAAAGATTCTCATCTGCATCCTACATACTCTGAACAAATTACAGAATTTATGCAGCTCACTTATGGCATCACTGTGTTGTATCATTTCTAGTAAAGAGTTTCATATGACAGAATCCAGGTTGCGTTTATTAACCATATTTCCTATGTATATGCTTTTACTTCATAAGTATTCCCTTATCTCTGGTTATCAGAGGCTGGAAGTCACCCGAAGTTGACATTCTGAACTGGCATATACTAATACTGACCTTAACTTTACATTATTTAAAAGGTTTATAAATAAAAACCTGTATCAATCAGCTTGAAAAAAATACTTTGTTAAAGAAGCCATCGTGCACATTTAAAGTGTGGAAAGGAACATAAGATCAGGTCTTCTTGCACAAAACTCCAAGAATCAGCAATTTATATTCAGAGGTTTTAAAGAACATTCAACCTTCTTCAAGTCTTGCTTATACATCTTTATATCACTCTATCACTACAGAGCATTAAGTTTTGAGCACTGTATTATACAAAGTCAACAGTACATTCCACAGAATTTCTGGGAAATGTCTCCATCAGAGATCTGTGTAAAATTTCTGTGTAGTAACTGACCTTCACAAACTGTCAGCTCACTCTTAGTTTGGCAACTTAATCTAAATCCCATTTCGGGAAATCATTATTTAATTAATACACCTCAAACTCACCTCCTCTGAGAACTGGTACAGGTATACATAGAAACGGGTATTTATGCAGGCAGCACTTGAAGAAGGAAGAAAGGTAATTTACTATTACCTGGTTTACTTTGATCATATAGATTTATTTTCCTCACTTCCTCTCCCCTTCAGCAAGACAGGAACTGCAGGGACCGGGCCACAACTGCTCAGAAGAAATTTTCACTGAACATTTGTTTTTTCAAGAGGGTATCTGCCCCACAGTCACTTCTTTCCACTGAGTTCCAGTTTCCCTCTCCAGTAAGGGAGATGCAGGCCAGAAGTATGCAATCTACTTGAAAAGTATGAGCACCTGCCTCCACAGGGCAAGAGACATACAGACCCCTACCTGTGTCCTTTTGCCACTATAATTCTGCCAGCATAAGCGTCTGTAAGGAGTCTGCTTGGGAACAAATGTGACTTTATTCTGATGCTGTCATTCTGCTTTATACCAGAATCAATTTTATTTCAGAATAATCTATGTATTTACACAGAGTAGTAAAGACGGCACAGCTGCTATCGTGTATCTACATTGCTACACCCCTGCCAGTCAGGTTGCTCACAGAACAAATTCAGGTATTGCAAAGCAGTACTTTCTTCTAAAACTACAATGCAAGGATACCGTACCACCAGTGCTGTTGACACCCCAAGGGTTCCATTTCACTCACCAACAGGAGTGCTGGGGCCCATGCTGTACCCCAGGCCTCTCTCATTCATGCAGATGTAGCTCAAGCCTCGGTTGGGAGCTTTTCAGCTGACCCAAATGAGAGTCACTGATGAGCCAAGTGGTGGTCGTGTGTTTAGGAACCACTAGCCCTCAAGAAATGGGCTTAGAGAGAGAGAAAGCAGTCTTTACGTCTACTCAATGATTTATCTGACATGCTATTTGTCCATGCCGAATTCTTATTTAGTTCAGTGCAGACTGTTTAAGGATAAGAGTTCAAACATAAATCTGAAGAGACTCATTTTCTCTGCTTAAAAATAAACATGAGGAGAACAGTAACAGGCCCTGGTTGCTCTTGAAACAACTCTACGGCACACCAGGAGCCCCACGCAGTACTTCGTTTCCCTTCTCCCTCCTAAAGGTGGCTCTTTGGGCACAAGCCGTTTTTTCCCCTATTTCAGGGATTCGCAGCAGGTCCCTGGTAAATCCACCTCGGGGCTGCATTTGTGCAGCTGCCCTTTACCCCTGAGTCAGCGGCCGTACCCGCACCTGCACTACAGCTGCCTCTGAGGACTGCCACGCCTTCCTCTTCCCCACACGCAGAAGCCAGCAGCTCCTCGCCATGTTCCAGCTCCCTCTTTCCAGCCTCCACCGGGCTCTGCGGCACCTCCTCCCCAGGGACCTCAGCCTCTGCCCCGGCCTGGCACCATTCTCCTTCCCAAATTCACGTCACCCCTCGGCGGTGTTGGCTTGGCCTTTCCCTTTTCCACCGGAGCTCCTGCAAGAAGCCACCAGGAAGCTGACGGCACCTCCCGCCGTGACCGTCGACGCCTGCCCCGCGCGTCTGGAACCTTCCGTGGCATGGAGGGGGATGGGGGGGGGGGGGAGCACGGCCACGCAGGAGCCAGGGCAGCACCTCGGGTGGGGAGGCCCACGGGTGTCAGCGCCACAGCCGAGGAGGCCTCTCTCCCGCCGCGCCGCTGGCACCTCAGCCCTGAGGGGAGCCGGACCCACACCTCACCTCCAGCTCTCGTCTTCCGCCGGGCACCGACGCGGCTCCACCGGGGGGGGGAGCTCCCCGGCTCACCGCTTCACCCGTGGGGGGGGTGTGAGGGGTGGTGTGGGGAGGGGGATTGGCGGGAACTACAGAGCGAGGCGGCGAGGGGCGCCGCACGACCCCCCGGGCAAACCGCCACAGAGGCGGGTCGCGGGGGGTGGTGGTGGTGGTGAATTTGGATGGGTTTTGAA